GTACGACACACACACACACACACACACACACACACACACATATATATATATATATTGTGAGTAACTAATTTAGTTCACGAACGGTTTAGAGTGAAACAACGTATATACCTTACAGGATCAAAGTAGTGCAATAGCTTACAAGGTTGTGAGGACTGATCATCCCACAACCTTAACATACATACTCTAAAGCTGGACATTGCCTGCCGTCAGACCCTCTAGTCACTGACGCAACATCTCCTTTCTCGCCATATATTCTATCATACTATTACACTACGCTGCTAAATGCTTTATGCTCTTCTTCTATTGGTCTACGCTTACCAAATCAGCTGTAGACATAAACTAATATCATAAGACATAAAACGTTTATCCATCCCTCCATCACTCTAAAAAAATAACCCTTATTCACCCGAACCATCAAGCATACTTCAAACACAATTCAGTTCTGCACACGAGCCCTCAAGCACGTATTAGCTGTACAAAGTAAGCTAGTGAAAAGGACATTTCAGCAACGATGGAATTTAAGAAATTCAGTGGGCATCGATTGGAGAGTTTTACCCAGCACCGTACGGAGACGGTGGCGAAGGTAAAGGAGTTGAGGACCTTTGCTAATGTGTAAGGAAAAGACGAGGCGAAGTTGTTGGCCCGAGCCAGGTGCTTGATGGAAAACGCCTGTACCCAGCAGATTCAGAACAATGCATTGGTCATACTGGGTCCGGGTTTGATGGAGGTTGAGGTGATCGGGTGGTACGTCTTGTCGAGGAAAGTATCGATCATGGAGCCTTGCCACCAGTCACCAGCAACGCAGTTCTGCTGATGCGCCGCATACTCGCGCTCAGCCCGACCCACGGACTCCTCCAACATCAACTCCCCAGGCATGATGGTCGTCATGAAAGTACACAAACCAACCACATGCTCAACTGGTTTTAAGGCAAAACCCCCCAGCCTGGGGCCATGTCCACAACGGACAGGCTTCTCAACAACACCAGCCACCGCCGGAGCCACGCGATCCTGCACCATACAGGACTCCAGGTCATCCGACCGCGCCGTCAATGCGCCAACCAAAGCACTGGTCACAGGCCGATGCGCATCCACCTTCGCCCAAAACCCCTCAGCCAAAGTGAACTTCTCGCAACGAGGACTAAGATGGGTACCATCTGCTTAAACCAAGCAGCCTCCGGATAATACGGCACTACCAGCGTCGCAGCGGCCCTATCCGACTTGACCCTCTGGATCACAGCATCCAACTTGGAGAACGGAGCATTCATATACCAACTCCGCCCAAACCAAGTGTCCAAGGCAAACACCCCACCTTCTAAAGTGGACGAGTAATAAGGCACCATCAAGTCATTGCCTGGCAACGCAAACCCTTCAGCATCAAAGGGACCAACACGCTGCAACGCCTTGTCAAAATACTTGAGCGCCAACGAATACTCTTCCGTGTCAGGCACCGTAACCAAGGGATCTGAAAAACTCACACGCTTCTTGATCAACGGAGACTCCACTTGCATAATCGGATCAATATGATAGCCCAGCCGGGACATCACATCCGCCACCGGATTATCTTCACCCGGGATATGCATCAAAACCAAGTCAAAGTCCCGCAAGACCTGAACATACCGACCCATACGCCTGCCTCGCACCAAGTCTTTAAACTCGTGCGGCTCCTTCTGCATCATAGCCACAAACGGCTCATGATTAGTATAAACCACTAAGTCATGCACCGATCGCCGAACAATCCGCCAAGCCTTGTGCAACACGTACACAATAGTCAAGGCCTCCTTATCCGTAATGTGGTAGTTGAGCTGCGCCGCACTGAACTTGGAAGATCAGAATCCTACCGGACACAGCTCATTATTGCGCCGAGCAAACAACCCCCCAGCCACACCAACAGAATCACAAGCATCACAGTAGAGTTCCAGCTTATCATAAAACTCTGGCTCAATCAAGACTGCACGCTCAGCCACACCCTTCAAAACAGCATCAAACGCTGTCTGCTGAAGCGGCCACCACTCAAAAGCAACAACTTCTTTCAACATTTCAGACAGCGGCGCCGTGATCCGCGCATAATCCGGTATAAACTCAAGCCAAAACGTGAGGGTATGAAACCATGATTTCAACAGATCATTCGTCGTCGGTCTAGGCATCCGCAGAATCGCCTCCAACCGATCCTCCGAGATCGACGCACCATTCTCATCATCCGTCCGGCCCAAAGCCAAAAACGGTCCTTCATCAAACGACTGAAAGTCCCTATTCAACCCACCTGGGTCCATGTCTATGTCATCCACTGGCAAATCCACTGGTGCTAACACGTCTGGGATCCTCGGCAGAATATGTTCCTCAACCAGGTCCAACTCATCCTGCTTGTGCATCCGCTCAACACGCTCCTTCATTACCTGAAAGTGCGCTGTAGCTGCTGCCACATACTGCTTCTGCATCACACTAATTAACGCACCCGTTACATGTATAATATTCATCTGACGCCGCAGCCTCGCCTGCGTACCATTCCTATCTACTTTAGCTTTCCAAAGACGACGCTTTGGGGCCAACGCCCTCACCCGCCGTCCTTGCCTTGGTGTCAGCACAGTCTCCGGCTTGACCAACGCCTGCTTCCTTAGCAACTCTGCACTCGTTACCAACTTAGGTCTTATTGCCTCGTGTAGCAAAAAGTCCATCCGATCTCCATTCTGCACTAGCGCTTACCGCTTACTGCTGTTCAACATCAAGTTTAGGCCATCCTTTACCATGGTATCATGACCTACTAATACATCCGTCTTCATTGGTAGTGAGCCCACTACCAGCATCCTCAGCACAGGTTGCAAGAATCGCTCATGCCACCTTAACCACCCCCAAGGGCGCAACCGTTCCCATTTCAGCAACACCTTCAAACGGCAGACCCATGTACCTAGTCACATCCAGACCAGCTCTGTCTACCAACTCCTTTGTAATTAGATTGGGCGTCGCACCCGAATACACCGTTATAGGAATCCCTCCTATTTCACCTGCAATGTCACTGCCTCTGTTAGCCGTGTCTTCGTCTAACACCGTTGCCCCCACAGCATCTACCCCTGAAGAAGATTCCCTTAGTCAGTTGTTGGCCTCTAGGGCTGCAGGTTTGTCGCAGTTAGCCTTGACATGCCCCCTAGTGTTGTAGTTAAAACACACACGTCGTTCTTCCCACTCACCTACGAACCCCTCCGGCTTATCACCAGCTCGGTGCTTACGTAGTTTTACCTTCTTAGATCGCTTCTCAAACTTATTATTCATCTTCTCGAATCTACCACCCATCTTGGTAGGAGTGGCCACCAGATCAACATCATCGAAGCCCCGCTTAGTGCCAGCAGATGCTCCATCTGCTTGTACTCCATCTTGGATCCGACCACCTCCGTCCTGGTAACTCGACCCATTGGCCTTCACCCTTCGAAGGTGGCGCTGTCCTTGCTGCATGCTTACGTGATGCAGAGACCTTCTCTTGTACATCAAAGTGCCTCACCACAAAGCTCAAACCTCCTTGACGATACTGCGTTTTTAGCATCGCTGCAGTCTCTGGTGCCACCTCCAAAAAAAGCGTATCCAAAAACATCGGCATAGCCTCATGCAATTGGTCCAGAGAAATTCTTACAAATTTCATAAAATCCGGTATTCGTGCAGTAGGTCTATGGCGTACCGGCCAATTATACCAAATTTGGCCACCTGACTCATATAATCCGCCAAAATTCCTGAGTTATTGTGCTGACTCGTCATCTTAGCCAGGCCCACTCTAATACTGTCATATCTGCCAATAATTCTGAAGTAATTCATACTTCTTCGCGCTGATTCTCTCTGAGCCCAGACAAATTCCTTCATAGCATCAAACAGATGTATATATATATATATATATATATATATACATACATATATATATAGTCTTCTCGTCCACGTCTCTTCGTTCGGTCGGACTACACGTCGGTGCGTCGTCCGTTCCTGTCGTGCGACGCCGCGTCGGCCGTTCGGACCTACCC